CGAATAAATAATTGAGGTTTCTTCCAGGATAGAAGATATTGCATCTGGCAGCTGCTGCTGTAGATAGATGAGAACAGATGTTAAGTTGAAGGCCAAGACCAAACTGGGGCTCTTGGCAACAAACTATGTCCAAATCTTCACATTCTATTAAAGAGAAGGTGCAGCCAGACCAGATAGACTTAATAAATACTTTTCACAAGTGTAAGATGCATCCAAAGACTCAAATAACCACTTTTGGGGAAGGAAAGAAACCCTGCCCTATCAAATGTATCCATTGTTCCTAAGATAATATTGCAATTTCAGGAACAATGAAATGTGGATTGGATACCTATGTTCCTCAGAACTGGCAATAGAAAACTCTTGTTACTAGAGAAGCCAAATACAATTTTAAAAATGGGAAGTTTAAAACCTGTAAGGACCAGAGGGTCAAATGCAGAGGTTCATATGGAAAACAATCTGTGTATAAACACTTGGTAGAATAACAGCATGTGGTTAGATCTCCATTAAAAGTCTAGACTCTGGGTGGGAGGCTTTCTAGGCTTGCCCCACTATTAAAGGTTAGATGAGGCTGAAAATAGAATAGCAATTCCAAGTAATAAGAGATTCCAAGGAAGGATAGATTGACTCAATGACCTACTTATAAAAATCAGTGGTTTCCAAAGAGGTGGTAACTCTGTAACAGGAAGAGCTGACTCCCTGTTCCTAAGCCAATAATATTAGGTAAAAATTAGAGAAATGTATTAACCCTAGAGGTTATTTACTGTATTGGCTTGTCACAAATATATACAATTCCTATCTGAGAGGATTATACAGTTATGTGCCACATAATGACATTTTGGTCAATGACAGACCGCACAGATGACAGTGGTCCCATGAGGTTATAACGGAGCTGCAAGCTTCCTGTTGCTTAGTGATGTCACAGCCACTGTACTGTCCATCACACTACTCTGTGCATGCAGTGATGCTGAAGTCAAAAAGCCTACTGAGCTGCCAGTTGTATAAAAGTGTAACAAAATTATGTACACTACATAATACTTGATAATAATAAACGGTTACTGGTTTTTGTATTTTCTATATCATACTTTTTACATTTTATTTTGTTACTCTACTTATAAAAAAAAAGTTTGCTACAAAACAGCATGCTGTGCTACACTGGTGGCAGCCTCATACATCTTGTGTTTACCTTGTCTCTGGATTGCATCATTTTCTCTTGTGTTTGATTTAATCTTGTGTTGTTTTATCATTTTATTGTAGCCTAAGTGTACAGTGTTTATCAAGTCTACAGTAGTGACAGTAACATCCTGGGCCTTCACATTCACTCCCCTCTCACTCACTGACTCACCCAGAGCGACTTCCAGTCCTGCCAGCTCCATGCATGGTAAGTGCCCTATACAGCTGTACCATTTTTTATCTTTTAGAACTCATGTTTTACTGTACCCTTTCTATGTTTAGATATATATTTACTATTGTGTTACAATTGCCTATTCAGTACAGTATTCAGTACAGTAACATGCTGTACAGGCCTAGGAGCAACAGGTTGTATCAAACAGCCTAGATGTGTAGTAGGCTACCATCCAGGTGTGTGTAAGGGCACTCTGTGACATTTGCACAATGATGAAATTGCTTAACAATACATTTCTCAGAACATGTCCCCATCGTTAAGCAGCGCATGACTATTTTAAGCACGCATCTCCTCTAATTTTTTTTTTTAAGAATTCTAATCTTCTAAGGTTTAAGAAGTATCTGGGGACAACTGCAAACACATGACAATCAAAGGGTGAATTTCAGATATTTTCACATTTATTTCACAGAGAAATAAAGGTTCTCCTGAAGTGGTGAACTTTCCTGAGCCCTGCCCCCTTCCTTCCATCAGGCTCCTTTTCCTTCTTTAAGTGAAATCCACCCAAAAGCAGATTTTCATGCATGGAAGTTACTATAAATGGGACGCAAATCTCTGATAGTAAATTATGAGCATGACATGACTAAAGGCTCTAAACGGATGAAAACATACTGGGACCATCTGCTGTTAATGCATGAGAGAACAAACATGGGTTTTGTTGAGTAAATAGGCTAGAAACTCAGTTTTATATCCCTGTCTATACAAGGCTCTCATTTGTCTCTGGAGAAGCTTCAGAGAAATGAACATGGGAATCCGTACCTGAAGCAAGGGCCACCTTGGTAAATAAGACTCCCGCTCAAGAATATTCAGTAATAACTACTATGGTATTTTCACACAGGATTCTAGAAACAGTAATTTTCTCATATGGAAGATATATGACATACCTTCCTATCCCATCAACTCCCTCTTTTTAAAAAACAAAATATTTTTCTTATTCAATCAGTGTAAAACACTACTAAAAGAAAAGCTCTTAAGTCCAAATGAATTCTGGAATCTACCAAATTTCTTGAATTTTTACTCAACTATTCCAGAAATCCTATCAATATTGTCCAAATAACACAATCATCAAAAATCACTAACTGATGAAAGACTTAGAGAGCAATAACCCAAAATCAAAATCTCCAAAAGCTCTTATCTCACAGCAAGTGTTCAAAACTCTATTGATGTGTTAACTGATAACAGATAAGAGCTGTGTTCGTCCCTCTTATCTCTGAACAACAACTTTATTCAAGGGGGCTGGTTCTAGGGTTCCCTAAAGGCTTGGTGTAGAACAGGTTAGAAATGTGGTTGCAAAATTGTTTGAGATTTTTCCAGCCTCTCAAGAGAATAAGGAAAAGCTGTAGCTTAGAATTAATCCTTTCACTCTGTTAACTTTCCTTTATTTCAGAGAGAGAGAGGGAGTGAGGGAGCGAGGGAGAGGGGGAGAGAGAAAGAGAAAGAGAAAGAGAGAGAGAGAGAGAGAGATAGAGAGATAGAGAGAGAGAGAGAGAGAGAGAGACTAATTGATAAGCCCATTTATATTGAGATTCAAAAGTTACTAGACACTCATGAGCTCCTTACAGGAGCCTGTAACGATGAGATGGCAGACAGGTGACATTACGAGTGTCTAGTAGGATTGGTAGTACCTGCCTAGAGCATTTGTTGAGCAGAGCTGTCAGGTTGAATTGGAAGCATAGGCAAAGAGTGTCAGGATTTTATTAGCAAAGTCTATTCGAGGTAAAGGAGGAAATAGGGGAGGAGATCAAGCCAGCATGTTTTGATCCGCATCAAATTCAATTAGGCAAAAAGTAAAAAGGTTCCCTATTCCAGCACGCTCGTCTCTTTTTCTCCCCAGCATAAGGAAGCACTGATGAGACAGAGCCAAGACACACCTGGATAACTTCATGGGAATAACTACCCCAAATAATCATGTACCATATGCCCTTTGAAGATGAGCTCAGTCCAAAGCAATAAGGGAAGTTTGTTTTAGAAAATGGAAAAAGAAGCTGGGGCATAAGAAAGTGACTAAAAGGGAAAAAATTCAACTGCACACCAGGGCTTGTGGAATTGGAGGTACACTCTGTGTGAAATAAAAAGTAAATGGGCTCCAAAAAACTAGAGGATTTAAGATAGACATGGCAGGAATTAACAGACAAGCCTGTTAATGGAATGCTGATATTCTGCTTATTTGAGATGTTATGTTTCAAGGATGGCCTTTTGATTCTCCCAGGGGAAATATAGTTGTTCCCTCTTACAGAAGAGTAAAATAAAAAAGAACTGTCTCAGTCTCAGGAAAAAGACCTGATCTAGTAAACTTAGGGCTTTCAAGTGGAAAGAAAAAGAAGAGCTAGTCAGATCCCTGATTATGGAATCTGGGACAGGGCTGATGAGTAATGGTTATACTGTTTATTGAATCTGGGGTTTTAAGGGACATAGGTAAAAGGAGCTGGTGCAGACAGGAAGCATTTATTTGCCTTGCTTTCAGGCAGACAGATCAATCTGAATATCCCTGGCTAAGATAAAGAAGAATGAAAACAAGGAATTCACCATAGTAGCAGCATACTATCGGGTTGTCGGAAAAGTCATGACGCGTTTTTGCAACGGAAAACATAGAAAAAATACGTCATGACTTTTCCAACAACCCAATACGTTAGTGTTTCATGAGTCCATGGGCATCAACAACATAATTTTAGTACTCCAGGATAATGAGAGACTGCAATTAATTAAAACAGTTACCAGAACCAAACAAACCAATCTGTCCTTTATATCTCATGAGAAACTGTCTCCATTATGTATATAGAAAAGACAGAAATCATAGTATTAGAAACATTGCTTTCCTGTTTCTTTCTATATGCTGCTACTGAACCACCATTATTTTTACTCCTCAGAGAGGAGTAAAACTTGCTGCTTTCCCCAGGATCACTTCTTTTTGGCCCAGTTCTGCCTGCAGCCAATTATATACTCAATTTCTGTAACCAATGGACAAAATTTATAGGCCAATATATTTATAAGTACATCTTACCAGACCACAATCGTAGAATCTGCAACTTCATTAGTATCAAACTCTTAAATAAGAGTTAAAATTATCACTAATTTAAATACAATCTATATTACATATGAGTGTTTACCCTCTCCTTCCTAGTTTAACTTCTGTCTTTTCCGCATTGGACACCATCATGATTTCTTCACTAAACATACTTTCTATGTGGCTATAAATGTTTGTATGTATCATAATTAACTTCACTACACATCAATGGAATTATTTTTCCCAAATCCGAAAAGCAGATAGAAAGTTACACCAAATTTAATATAAACACCCAGAATTATCCCAGAAGGACATTTTCACACAACCTGACAAAAAGTACGTTTCAATCTGAAATACTATTCAACCTATACAGTGGTCTTTGTCTCTGGCACTTATAATACTGGAAGCTCTGATTATCCTAAGGGCTTCCTGCAGTGGCATCACACACACTGGGGGGCTGAAAAGGAAGCACTGATGCATGAGACTAGCCAACCACTCAAGTATTTGTATCTCGAAAGTCTATTGTACTTTTAAATGAATTCTTAAGGCTTAAATAATTTTTAAGGTGTTTTTGAATCAAAGAAGAAAATTACTTACTCCAGAAGAATATTATTCATATCCTGTGTAAAGAATTTTTTCCTTCCTTCTTCATCAAAAAGTTTGGCAGCCTAGAGAAACATAAGATTGGCAATATAACTCTCAATACACACATTATTTGTTTCCATATCTACTTAGTAAAGAATAAGCTCCCTGAGCATGGGACTATGATTTACCTCACTTTTTATCCTCTTAATACCTGGCATTTAAAGTAGGCAATTAAAGAATGCTATAACAATTTAGCATACATTCAATTATTTTCCATTATGCTTGTATTTAATTTTTCTCAATCTTCCTAAATTCACAAAATTATACATACAAGACTTTTTAGTGCTGTGGGTGTCTTGTGTATTTGCACTATCTGAAGGTTTGTTTATTAACTGTTGCTGTGATCTCCACGGTAACAGAAAGCAGATGTCTCACTTTCTACAGACGCTATTGTCTACAATATGTCTGATATGCTATATTTTATACACATTACCACGTTCAATACTCAAAACAGCCGATGACATTGGTATTATAACCCCCATTTTACAAACAAGAAACCTAAATCTTACAGAGGTTTCATGATATGCCCTAAAACCACACTGCTGGTAAGTGATGGGTGGGCCCAGGACGCAGACCAGAAGCTTTCTGACTTCAATTGTGCATCACTCACACCTTGTACAAGACACGCAGCTTACTGCAGCCAATCTGGGCTCTACCTAATCACATACTAACAATGAAAAAATTAGCCCGGGTTATTATCAACAGGTACACAAAAATCAATTCAATGAGCTTAAGGATAATATTTTCCAACTGACCAGAAATAAGGGGTGTACAAACCAAGATACTTTTGGTCTTTTGATTCTCCTGGGGGAAAAATAGTTGTTCCTTCTTACAGAAGAGTAAAACAAAAAATAATTGTCAGCTCACCGAAAACAAAGTGTGTACAAACGAACACACTCTACCATAAGCAAATTTTACAGGGGAAATCACAAAAGATGGTTTATCTTAAGATCCACCAGATATAAAAATGAAAGAGGCCTGATCCAATAATCTGAGCAAGCCATATATTGACTCTGTTAATCTACCAAGTTATTTGAAAATTTTACATGCTATGAATAGATGAGGAAATTTTATGAGATGTGCCTCAGAACTTGTTAGAAAGGATAAAGCCTGGGTATGTGTAGGGGGCAGAAATATAGGAAGAAAGCAAGAATGAAAACTAAACTTCAAGAAATAGAATTAAAACAAAGTCAACAGGTTGAACAGTGGAAGAATGTCACAAAGTGAGGACAGAACAACAAGAAGCAACTCCTTATCAAACATGAGCATTTTAGACAAGGATGAATTCTCATCTCCTGAAGGAAAATTTCAAAGAAAAAATACGGAAAATTCATAGATATCAATAAGTGAAATGAATCTTCTTATTGATAATTTCCTACTAAGCAGTAATATTAATCCTGGCATGGCTACTATACAGATGATAGTTTTTGGTATATGAGATATGACAGAGTTTACAAGATTGAAACACACTCATTACTAACCAATTTTGTTTATTAAATGAGAAGGAAGGGCATATAACACTACAAAGTGCAAGCTATGGGGCTCGGTGGTCCTGCCTTTAATCTTATTTTGATTCATGGCTCAGCCACTTAAAAGTTATGCGGCTTTGGGCAAATCTGTTAACCTTCTGACCCTCAGTTCCCTCACCTATTAAATGGAAGAACACTACCTACCTCACATATTGTTGGAGGGTTAGCCTATAGAGTATGGAAAGTATGCTAAACCAAGCCAGGGCACTGTCTCCTGAATGGCAAATGGTGCTTTGTGAAGTGTGGGACACAGTAACACTGCACTCAATACACGGTATAGATTTTAGCTAAATAAACAACAGCTATCATTATTAATTACATCTTGAAACACCAGCATCACATCACTAGCACTTTTTAAACCTTGAAAGATTTTAGGGTAGGGGCAACATGGGGATAACAAAAAGCATACACTTCAGAGTCAGGTGAGCCTTGTGTTTAAGTTTGGGCTGACTAGCTGTGTGGACTTGACCAAGCTATTTAACTTAAGTTGCTTAACTGTGAAAAGGGAACACTACCTATACTTCATTCTTGGAGTGGTTAATAAGATTACATAAAAAAAATCTACTCGATTAACAAAACTATAGATTGTATACTTTTCAAAAAATAAGAGCAGAAAATAGCAAATGAATGGACACAAAAGAGAGAGAGGGAGCAATAAAACAGGATATTAAAAATGACAGAATAAAGTTCAATTATATCCTTATAACAACTGTAAAACAAAATCATTTGCTAAAAGAAAAAAAGACTCAGATGATCAATAAACCAATTTCCATTTATATGCTATCTATAAGAAAAAGAGCGAAAATAAAGGAACTCAAAAAGGTTGAAAGTAAATGATGAGAAAGGCTATACCATGCAAAAATAAAGAGAGAAGAGTCTACAGTACAATCACACAAAATTGAATTCAAGATAAAATGCATTAATAGCATAAAAAGGGTCACCTTCAAATTATAACCATCAAAACAAAGATCTAGCCATCAAGCATTTTAACAGCCAAACAACACAGCTTGGAAACAAACAAAGCAAAAACTATGGTAAACACAAGTTATAACCTAAGAAACACTGGCAACGAGATACTTTAACACACTTCTCTAAGTCCTGGACTAATGAAGCACAATAACATAACTAAAAATACAGGGGAACTAATTAATAAGTCGAGACCTCAGAAGAAACACTAGAGAACCAAACACAGAAAATAGAATTGAGAATTAAAATCCCAAGACCAGTTGTTGGAAAAATTAGAAGTCCTGCACTCCCCTAATCAGATATTTAAAATTCAGAAAGTTAAGAGAAATACAAGAGATGATTAATAAATGTTAAAATGTGATTTAAATGGATTACTGTAATCCTAGGAGAAAGAAGCAAGTTGTAGAATAGTCTGTACATTACAATCCCATTAACAATTACTTTTAATAATAATATAACATTTGGAAACACATCGATTATAATCCAGAAAAATAAACAGTAGTTTAATAGTGGTCATCTCTGCTGGGGGTGGGGATTATCAGATAATTGGAAATCTTTCCCTAAGTATTAAATACATTTTTTTGGAAATACATGCTGTATTGTATATTTTACTTTTATAATAATAAAAAAAAGAGGACTAAAATATGGCATGAGTTTAGATAAACACACTAAAGTAAACAAAAAGAGTATTTTAAGCTAGGTTTGGCCCATTTTAAGTAAAAATAATATTTCCCTGAGATTAAATGAAAAAATGTGATGATATTTATCTTCTACTACTTAAATAGAAGAAGACTATGAATCCAAGTTGATCTGGAGAGAGATGTGACATGCTAAAACCACAACTGTTAAGTTTGTCCTAGTAATTTACCAAAGCTGCTGATTAGCTGGTAAAATCAATCAGTTACATTTCTGCAATGTTACTGCCTGTTCCTACCTTCTCTCTAGTTTCTTTACATGATTATGTAAGCCAATAAATACTGTATTTATGAAAACTATGCAGAAAGGTATTTATATAGCAAAGTGAAATAATAATACAATCAACTGCACCCATGTTATAATTATATATATAATAAATTCTATTTCTATTTAAATGCAAAGGTCTACGCTATCAGTTGATTTCTCAGCAGAAATTTTATAGTCTAGAAGAGAGGAGCAAGATATATTTACAGTGCTGAAAGAAAGGCACCTACAACCTAGAATATTATACCTGGCAAGGTTATCATTCAGAATTGAAGGAAAGATAAATATTGGGTTGTCAGAAAAATCATGATGCATTTTTGCAACGAAAAACATAGAAAAAATATGTCATGACTTTTCCAGTAACCCAATATGTTCCCAGACAAGCAAAAATTAAGAGTTAATCACCACTAAACCAGCTTTACAAGAAATGTTAAAGGATCTTCTTTATGTAGAAAAGGCCATAACCAGAAATAATGAAGGAAAAAAAAAATCTCACAGGTAAAGGCAAATATAGAATTACCACAGTGGATCGATCAGCCACTTAAAAACTTAGTATGAAGGTTAAAAGACAAAAGTAACAAAATTAACCATACTATAATAAATAATCAAGAGATACACAAAACAAAAAATATATATATAACATCAAAAACACTAAGTGTGGAGGGCGGAGTGAAAGTGTAGTGCTTTCAGAATGTGTTTAAACGTAAACTGCTTAAAATAAGACTACTATAGATATAGATGGATATATATGATTCTCACAGTAACCACAAACCAAAACAATTACCCAAAATATGAGAGAGAGAGAGAGAGAGAGAGAGAGAGAGAGAGAGAGAGAGGTAGGTAGGTAGGTATGGACCCAAACAAAACAGTAAAATAAACCCTAGCAAACCAAATGCAAAGAGATGGTGAAGAAGGAACAGAAAAGAACTAGAAAACAACCAAAAAACAATTAACCAAATGCCAATAAGTAAATACCTGTTAATAATTATTTTTAAATGTAAATGGATTAAATGGTCCACTCAAAAGACTGAGTGGCTGAATGGATTATAAAACACGAGTCATCTATTGGGTCGTAGGGAAAGTCATGATGTATTTTTCTATGTTTTTCAATGCAAAAATGCATCATGACTTTCCCAATGACCCAATATATGCTGCCTACAAGAGACTCACTTCACATCGAAAGACACAGACTAAAATAAAGGGATGGAAAAAGATGTTGCATGCAAATAGAAATGAAAAGAAAGCTGGAGTAGCAATACTTATATCAGACAAAACAGACTTGGAACTAGAGATGTAAAAAGAGATGAGGACATTACCTAAAGAGAAACGGGTCAATCCAAGCAATAAAGCAAATAATAATGAACCTAAAGGAAGAAATTAACAGCAATAGAATAATAGTAGGGGACTTTAACAACCCCTAATATCACTGGGCGATCATCGAGACAGAAAATTAATAAGGAAATAATGAACTTAATGTCATATTATACAAGATTGAATTAACAGACATTTATAGAACTTTTAATCCAAAAACCGCAGAGTACACATTTTTTCAAGTGAACATGGAACATGTGATCTCCAAGACTTAATCACATATTAGGCAACAAAACAAGTTTCAGTCAATTCAAGAAGACTGAAATCATATTAAGCATTTTTTATGACACAATGATATGAAACTAGAAATCAACTATGAGAACAAAATTGAAAAAAAATAAACATGTGAGACTAAACAACATGCTACTAAACAACAAATGGATTAAAGAGGAAATTCGGAAATAGTTTGAGACAAATGAAAATACAGCTCCCAAAAATTTATGGGAGGCAGCAAAAGCAGTTCTAAGGCGAAGTTCAAAGCTATATAGGCCTACCTCAAGAACCATCCAAAATAAACAACTTAACTTTACACCTAAAGGAACCAGAAAAAGATGAACAAATAAAACCCAAAGTAGAAGAAAGGAAATAATGAAGATCAGAGCAGAAATGAATAAAATTGAGTCTAAAAAAACAACAGAAAAGGTCAATGAAAGCAAGAGCCGCTTCTTTGAAAGAATAAACAAAAATAACAAAACTTTAGCCAAATTCATAAAAAAAAAGAAAAGAAAAAAAAGAGAGCGAGCCCAAATAAAATAAATCAGAAATGAAAAAGGCGAGGTTACAACTGACACCACAGCAATACAAAGAATCATTTAAGAATACCATGAAGACTTATATACCAACAAATAGGACAACCTATGGGAAATGGATAGATTTCTATAAACATACAACCTTTTAAGACTGAACCAGGAAGAAACAGTGAATCTGAATAGACTGATTACTAGCAACAACATGGAAGTTGTAAGAAAGAAAGAAAAGAAAGAAAGAAAAAATAAATAAAAGAAAACCTCACAACAAATAAAAGTCCAGGAGCAGACAGTTTCATAGATAAATTCTACCAAACATTTAAAGAAAAAATAATACCTATCCATTTCCAAGTATTCCAAAAAATTGAAGAGGAACACCTCTGAACTCATTCTAAAAGGCTACCATTACCCTAATACCAAAACTAGACAAAGACCCTAGAAGAAAGAAAATTACAGGCCAATATTCATAAGGAACATATAATTCTCAACAAAATACTAGTAAACCGAATTCAACAATATATTGAAAAGATTATACACCATGATCAAGTGGATTCATCCCAGGGATGTAAGGAAGGTTCAATATCTGCAAATCAATTAACATGATACACCACAGCAACAAAACCAAGGATAAAACTCATGTGATCATCTCAATAGATGCAGAAAAAGCATTTGACAAAATTCAACATCCATTTATGACAAACACTCTAAAAAATGTAGGTATAGAGGGAACTTACCTCAACATAATAAAAGCTATATATGACAAACTCACAGCTAACAACATAATGGTGAAAAGCTGGAAGCTTTTCCTCTACAATCAGGCACAAGATAAGGATGCCCACTCTCACCACTTTATTCAACATAGTATTGAAAGTCCTAGCCACAGAAATCAGACAAGAAAAAGATACAAAAGTCATCCAAATTGGAAAGAAAAAAGCACTATCACTGTATGTAGATAGCATGATACTATCTACAGAAAACCCTAAATACTCCACCAAAAAATTATTAGAATAAATGAATCCAGTAAAGTAGCAGGTTACAAAATTAATAAAAATCTGTCACATTTCTATACACTAATAATAAAGGATCAGAAGGAGAAGTTAAGAACACAATCCCATTCACAACTGCATCAAAAAGAATATCTAGGAATAAATTTAACCAAGGAGGTAAAAAACCTGTACTCTGAAAACTTCAACACAATGAAAAAGAAATTAAAGAGGACACAAATAAATGGAAGAATATACCATGTTCATGGATTGGAAGGGTTAATATCGTTAAAATGTCCTTACTACCCAAAGCAATCTATAGGTTCAATATAATTGCTATGAAAATACCAATGACATTCTTCTCAGAACCAGAAAAAGTAATCCTAAAATTTATATGTAACCACAGAAGACCATGAACAGCCAAAGCAATCTTAAGAAACAACGTTGGAGCTATTGCACTCCCGGATTTCTAATTATATTATTAAGCTAGAATAATCAAAACAGTATAGAACTGGCACAAAACAAGATAGATCAATGGAACAGAAATAAACGCTCACGTACATGGTCAATTAATCTATGACAAAGGAGGCATCAATAAAAATGGAAGAATAACAGTCTTTTCAATAACTGATGTGGGGAAAATGGGACAGATACATGCAAAAAAAATGAAGCTGGACCACTTTCTTACATCATATACAAAAATAAATTCAAAATGGATTAGAGTAAAATGTTAGAACTGAAACCATAAAACTCCTATAAGAAAAGATAGGAAGTCAACTCTTCGACATTAGTCCTAGTATTAAGTTTTTGGATATGTCCTCTCCAGCAAGGAAAACAAAAGAAAAGGTAAACAAACGGGACTTCATCTAATTAAAAAAGCTTTTTTGCACAGTATAGGATACCATCAATAAAATGAAAACACAATCTACTGAATGGAAAAATATATTTACAAATGATATATCTGATAAGGGATTAATATCCAAAATATGTAACAAAAATATAAACCAATCAAAGAAAGGACAGAGAACAGACACTTCTCCAAAGAAGACATATAAATCGCCAACAGACATATGAAAAGATGCTCAACATAACTAATTATCAGGAAAATGCAAATTAAAACCACAATGAGATACCACCTCACACCTGTCAGAATGGCTATTATCAAAAAGTCAACAAACAAGTGTTGATGAGGAGGGGGAAAAAGGGAACCTTCATGCACTGTTGGGAGTGTAAATTGGTGCAACCACTATGGAAAACAGTATGGAGATTCCTGAAAAAACTAAAATTAGAACTACCATATGACCCAGTGATTCCACTTTTGGTTATTTATCTGAAGACATTCAAAACATTAATCCATATAGATAAATGCACACCTATGATCGCTGTAACATTAGTCACAATAGCCAAGACATGGAAGCAACTCAGGTATCCATTAATACATGAATTAATATATATACACACACATACATACACAATTACTCAGCAGTTAAAAAGAATGAAATCTTGACATTTATGACTACATGGATGGACAGAGTGTATTATGCTAAGTGAAACAAGTCAGACTAAAATATCCTATGGTTTCACTTATGCATATGTGTGGAGTCTAAAAAACCCCCCAAAACCCACAAATGAATAAACAAAACAAAAACAGACTCACAGAAATAGAGATCAAACTGATAGTTTCCAGAGGGGAGGGAGGTGGGGGGACAGGTAAAAAAGATGAAGGGCAAACACAGTCAGTAATAATGTGATAACTTTGCACAGCGACATGATTATACAGTAGACTTAGTGTGATGAACACTTCATAAGTATATAAATGTTGAATCACTGTATTGTACACCTGAAGCTAATACATACCAACTATACTTAAGTAAATATGTAAATATAAATATAATAAACAAAAAAATAAATGCTTATGTACATAGGTTTTAGCTAAGGAGTAGAAGGAAATTAAAAGCTTGTTGTTCATGTCAGTGTTGGGATCGATGGTTATTTTTGTCTTAAAAAACATTGTTATATCTGTGCAGCAAAGAAAAAAAGGGAACATTATTTCACTTACTACACGGAGGTCTTCAATACGCTTTTCAAGAAGGACAGGTAGACCCTCTGGGAGTGTAGGTACCACCTTGGGCATCACCTGAGAGGCATAGGTTGGCTGGGTGGTGTTTCCATTCTCTCCCCCTGACTCCGAGAGGGGGCTACCATCAGAAGCAACATCCAGAAATCTGTCCAAGTCGATATCATCTAGCATCTTTAGGGCACTTTCAGCTTCCTGAAACAGTTCACGTTCATTGCTAACAAAAATGGGGAGGTCCGGGTCAGCATTGTTCAGGTTTAAGTCTGAGACATCACTTCCCAATGCAACAGCAGTGGAGGGGGGTTTATTCAGAGCAGTGGTCATTAAGTTCACTGGGACTTTGACGGGGACTTTCGGGTTAGACTCCTTATCTAATGCTTCCTTCTCTTTCTGAAATTCTCGTATCATGGCAGCTAGAGAAAGAGAATCTTTATAACGTTTCTTCTTTTTTTCAGACTTGTGTGAATTTAGAGCCACAACTCTGTGAAGAAAAAAGTAATCAGTTAGGCTATGTATGATTTTAAACATCAAAGCCCTATGGAAATAAGTAGGCACCGATGATCAAAATATTCATTTTGACAGGCGGGAGAGCAAATTTCTTATTAAATTATACTTTTAAAATAGCATCTTCATCGTTATCTAGATTGTCACTTATGAAAGGTAAATAGGTACATGGACATTTGAGAGAAGAAAGTGAAAGAAAGAAAGTCAACAGAAAGAAACAAAACTGAATGCAGTTCAGGTTTATTCAATTATACTAAAGTTAACTTACTATTCTTTTTGGAGTGTTCACATTCTTTAGTACATCTATAAAGTAGTCACCTAAAGGATTAACTAAATAAAGAAATGTACTTTTGCTAAAAAATAGAGTTGCCTTACAACCGGTGAAGCCCATACATAGTACACCTTCAAACTTGTAACCCAGGTGGCTGATGCTACAAACTGCCAACGAAATATAAAATCCTCTTATCAATCTGCGAACCTTCATTCATCACCATGTTGTCTATCTAGACCCTACCTTCTGATCATTTTTCACTTTCCATAACAGCCGTGTGAGGCAATCAGAAAGATGAAATCTTTTCTAAACTCTGTGGCTTATGTGCTTCTATGTGCACTACAGAACCTAAAAGATTATTAGCACCTCGAGGGTAGCCCCATGTTTTTCCTACTGTTATACACCCAAAGCAGAACAGTGCCTCATATACAATAGGTATTCAAGAAATATTTGTGGAATGTTATAAGTTTGAGAAAATGATAAATTCAATAAAAGCCATAACTTACAGTTTTTGTTTCCAAAGACACTTACTTGTAAATAATGAACATTTAAAACAACCCTTAGTAATCTGTATGTTCTTCTTAATAATTTCTCAATGACTCAAGGGTCACTATAATCTCATACTCAGGAGGGGATAAACACCTCCCTACATCAACCTTGTGGGTACTGACAGCTCCAAATGCACATGTGTTTCCCCTGCTAGGGAGGGGAGGAATATCCAGGCTCTCAAGTTTCTATACCTTAGTTTTTAAAAAAAAAGGCTTAGAGGCAGGGGCAATTGGTAATTTTATGACTGCATGGTACAAATGCTTTATTCTTATAATTTAAGGTTTTTGAGATATTCTACTTGGTTTTCAGAGGCACTATCATTAGCTAAAGTCACAAGTGTTAAGGATAGCTACATAAAATACTTTTTTTAGATTAAAACAACCATAAATTGTTTACATAGATGACTGTCAACCCTCAATCCCCAGACACTTAAGCATAGTTTTGGTACAAAAAGTTTAAAATGATTTGTTCAATGCTGTTACCTTTTCAAACTAGTTCTTGTTGGTAAAAGCTGTAATAAGCAAAATACTTAATGAACCAATCTGTAAATCTGATGTCTCGATTAAGATAACAAAGCCTTCTATTTACTGATAAATAAATATTAACACATTGTGGACCAGTGACACAGATTTGCATCTATACATTTAAATGCCTCGTCCTCAATGTGTTAAAATATAAGTTAGTAGGTCATTGATATTTAGAAATAGTGTATTAAATTAGACCCAGCTAAGCTGAATTATTTAATGTGAAATATATCTCCCAAAAGAAGAGCTAGTCATTCTATGACACTGATTCTCTTATGTTACATTTCACATACCCCAGTTGTTTGGGTACTTTTTTCCTTGGCTTCTTCTCCTTTTCCCCTTCCTCTTTCCGCTTCCGCTTCTTCATCTCAATATCATCTTCTTTTATTTTGGGAATCTGCAAAATGTCAAAAGAATGCATCACTTATCTAAGTATCAATGTTTTTCTCTGATGTTAGCAATCCAGGGCAGTGTTTTTTCTCAAATTTCAGTCAGCATTAGAACTGCCTGTTAAAAATGCAGATTCTTGGGATCCAGGAGCACTCCCACACTTAGTTTTGATTCAGTTATGGGGGTAAAGCCTATAATCTGCATTTTTTAACAAACATTTTGGTGATTCTGGTATAAGTACGTCTTTGGACCATACTTCACAAAACATTTATCTAAGGACACTCTCTCTCTCTCCATTTCCCAAATTTTATTTATATATATATATTCATATTCTTTTTTCTATAGAATTTGCTTTACAAATTACATCTTAGGGAAGGTAAAGGCTATTAACAGTCATTTCTATACCAAGCCCTTAACATATCCTAGAAACTTAACTATATCCCAGAAACAGTAGATTCTTAGACCACATTTGGAGAGAGAAGTTATAAAAGAAAAAATAATTCTACTATGATATAAATATCAACTTCCCCATAGCTACATAATTTTATTTTAAAGCATGTAATTAACTATAGATTCATTAATCAAAGGTTAGCATTTTTCTTTTCCTTATATTCACAGTATAAAGCACAAGTAAAAATTCAAAAAGTACATCCTATTAACTGAATGCTCTCATTACTGTTGCAATGTTGAATAAACTCACTTTGGGTGGCTTGTGCTTTTGGTTGTCTGTAGTATCTTCTTCTTCAGTATCTGAAGCTTGGCGAAACTGAAGAGTGCCAGTGTTGATATAAAAGCCTCCATATTTTGTTGTTAGAGAAGCAGGAACTAATTCATCATACTAGATTAAGAAAAAAAAGATTTCAGATGTATCTTATCTTTAATTCTATAAATATGTCAAAGAAATTCAATTACCATGTCAGCATCTTCCTGAAATCCTACCTGCAAAACTGTGCAATGAGAATGTTTATAGAATGAATTTAGAAAAAATTAATAGTTGGAATAAAAATAACTAATAATTCAGTACTTATTAGAAAGGCACTTCTGGAATAATGAAGCAAATTCTAAATATATCATCTGCTGAGAAAAATTTAAGTAAGGTCCACTGCTACTATTCTTAATGACAAATGATGATTGTAATGAAAAATTGGAACAAGTTAAAACAGATGACTTAATGTCCAGACATAATAAATTTCATTTCCTACCATATTAGTATGTAGTTTACTCATAAGGAGATTATTAAAAAATAAAGTATTTCTTCTGTCTTAGTTCTAAGCTTTTAAGTGGCAAATTTTTAAATGTTTAAAAGAATAGCATGAATGTGTTTTGAGGGAAGCAGAAAAAGAATTGCCCCGTTCAGGAAGCACAAACTGGGGCCCATGATGAGCTACGCACTCTGCTTGGAGTAAGACACTCAAAACTGCCTAAATCAGACTGAAGGGCTGACCTCGAATAGCACTTAAAGCTGATTGTCCTCGAAGCCTGGATTTTAAAGTTTATCATTATTATCTCACTTAATGAGGATGGACAAAATGCAACCATTAAATGAAGGTCAATCTTAACTAAATGAAGGTGTTTATAGTAGGAGAGAAAAAAGGTACTATTTATTTAATAGAAGCAAGATGCTTGCTACCTGGGGTCCCCAGAACTCTACTTAAGGGCTCTTCATATTACATAATTAGTGTTTAAGAGGGTCAGATTTTTAAAGAAAATTTTTTTGCCATGGGCAAGAAATTTCCATAATGCAGTAGTTACTACAAGATTAAGACTAAGTACAAAAGTTGCGATATTAACCTGTATCCTTTTAAAATATATTGAGAATGGAAAAAGAAATATTTGATTTAACCATATCAACTAAAGTTAATAAGTAAAAAAGAAAAGAAAAAGGCTTGAACTCCTTGTTGCTCTACTTCATGGGCTACTATAAAAGGTCTACAGGCCAGAAAACAAAAAGTCTACAGGCAAGACCTTCAAAAAGGGTCCAGTACCATCTGCAAGTAAAGGAGCAATGAAAGAAAGGAGTAAAGCGTTTAAAGCAAATACACTTTGTAATAATTATTTTGAAAATGTTTAATTGAGATAACACAAATACACCTGTTCTTTTTGTACACTGCTTTATAATTTTCTATGCTTCTTCATGGATATTATTTCAGTTGGTCTTCCTGATACGCTTGTGAGGCAAGGAAGGCAAATATTTTCCCATTTTATAAGTACAGATTCAGAGAGGTAAAGAACTTTGCCAGAATAATTTTATTAATTTACAGCAGAGTCACTGGCTGACTCTGCACCCATCCACTACACCAAGCAGCTTCTCACATGGGAAACACCCTCATCATCAGGTTACCAGCCAATGTGGACTTTCTCAACATCTGCCTTCTTTAGCATTCTGCTGAGCTTTCCCTACCAGAACACTGTTCAGTACAACATGCTCTTTATGCATATTTAATGTATCTTTTTAAATAGACTGTGTTAGGAGGCAACGAGCACCGGACCTGAGAATCAGAAGGCCTGGGTTTAGGTCCTTTGCCAATGTCTAGCTATTGTGACCCAGAGCCAATCACTTAACATCAATATTTTGGGACTGTAAAACAGTAAAAACATTATTTCACAAAGTTGTAGTGAAATTTTAAAAAGAAGACTTAAGTAAAAGTGTTACTCATGCCTGGTATTATTATTTATTAATAATAAAAAAAACATTTTCTTTCAGTCTTTTTAAATCTTGGCAGTATTTAAGTGTAAGCCTACAACTAATCTTCAAAAGCATTTGTTTTCAGTTACTTATAGCAGTAAGTAGTACACGATTCTGAAAATTAATTGTAACCTGATTATTGCCACTCTCTATCAAATAATGTATGAACAGTAAGAGCCTACTGGCAATGTAATCAATGAAAGAACAGAGACTCATTCGTTGATCATAATTGTTTTATCTCTGAATTATCTCACAAAAAAGAACCAAATGATTTGTTAAGGACAACAAAACAAGATTATTTTGCAAGTCAATAAACAACCTGAATTTTAGTTCAATTTCCTCTTATAAAACAGTGACATACCTTGTTCTACAAATGTTAGTAACTGATTATATAACTTTTATACAACTTATACCTACAAAATTCATCCTTATTCATTAAAGCAGCGGCTTTCAAATTTTCTTCACCACAACCCAAGCGGAAAACACATCACACATCAAAACCCAGTGTATATATACACATACATATACACATCACAAAAATTACATACTCTATCAGTGGTTTACTATGACAGTTCCTATTCTAGTCTATTTCATTTTCTTTAAAAATGCTGTCCACACTCTCTAAATTGATATATAATCCAATTATGGGTTGCAAAAGTCAGTTAGAAAAATCTTTATTCTGAATGCTACAAAAGAAGATATTTAAAATGCTATTTATGAAAGGTTACACATTGTATGATTCCAATTATATGACATTCTACAAAAGGCAAAAGTATGCTGATGGTAAAAGGATTGGTCGCTGCCAAAACATAGGGAGAGATGAATAGACAGAGCAGCATTTTTAGGGCAGCAAACTATTCTGTTTGATACTACAATGGTGGGTGCCTGTCATACATTTTTCCAAACCCACACAGTGTTCAACACCAAGAGCGAGCCCTAACGTACACTATGGACTTTGGGGAACACTGATAATGGGGGAGGCTGTGCATGTGTGGGGACAGGAAGTATATGGGAAATCCCTGTTATCTTCTGCTCAATTTTGCTGTGAACCTACATAAAACTGCTCTAAAAAATTAAGTTTATTAATTTAAAAAAATGCTATTTATGTAAGCCTCAGTACATGCAATGCCCCTTTATATTTGGCTAAGTTCTTTTTTGGGTTATTTAGAATTCAAAATCTACTTTACATACAAGTTAGCATTCATACTAATGCTTTATAGATTCTTTATGCTTTTCAGCATGTCATTATCTTATTTGAGTCTCAGAGTAGTTTTCCTGGGCAAGCCAAACACAGCAGAGAAAAGTGGGTGCTGTTAAAAGACCTGCTCCTGCTCCATGACTTATTAGAAACTGAGTCAGGTCTAGAATCTAGGACTTTTGACTTGAGTTCCAATCAAGGTCAAGACTCTTCAAAATATCCCATTCCCTGACCTACTACTGATTGACAACCTTTTCAGTAACAGGAAGGCCGTTCTACTCAAAAGGTCATTGTCAGTATTTTACTTCTACAGACCAGGCTGCCCGGTATGGTAAACCAGTTTATGTCAGGATACCAAAATAACTTAGAAGTATGATAGGATATCCAGTATGCCTCATGCTGGAAGTTACTTCCTGTCACTCTCTTACCACCATGTGCCTTGTCATCATCTATACAACCAAACACTGTAGCAACAGGAAAAAAACTAGTCTGTGAGTAGTATAATAGTCACCTCAGTGACAGTTTCTGTATATCCTATGTAATCACTGCATTATAAAGAGACTATTATAATCCCAGCATTTCGATTAGTACTGAGAAGAATGTAAGGACATATACATGTACCGTACCTACCCCCAAACACAACATGTCCTCCTTCATTTGCTAGGTGATCAATGGACTGCCACAGTCCTTAAATGCCCTCTTCAATTCCTCTCCCTCTTTTATGAGAAAGAGGATTCCAGGGGAAAACTGTAGGGCTCGATCAAACATGCTGGTGAAAAGGCTAGCATTTAATTACTGCCATTGTAGTGAGTCTTGGCAGCAATAAAAAATTTTAAGCACATTTTAAAGATGTCTGCCAGATTAATTTCAACCCATTAGTTTCAATTTTTAAAATAAAATGATTCTTATCTGGAAGTCATTTCAAAACACATCTGGCCCACGTTTGGAAATATCAATAAAAAATTCAAGATATAAATACCCTTTGGTCAAAAAATTCCACTGCTAGAAATTTATCCTATACATGTATTTACACTCTATAATTAATATTTACTCAAGTACACAAAGAAAAATGTACACAGATGCTCAAGTATTTTTAAGTGCATAAAACTGGAAACAATTTAGATGTACATCAATGGGGAATTAGTTTGCAAAAACATTCACTGAACTATTTTATTTACTTTACCCTTGACTTCTACTATCCCAAACAAACAAGAATTACTGCTTTATTAAAGATACATTACTCACAGCCTCTGAGTTATCAATAAATGGATCTGTCTCATCATAGCCAAAGCCTATATCAATTAAGTCTTGTAGCCGATCCTTCCGGTGTTTACGGGATTTCCCACCCTGCAAAGAACAGATAATGTTAGACTGATTCAGTGTTCATGCTATTTCCATAAAGTTAAAAAATATATATTGAAGAATCCCAAATAATTTCTGTAGCTAATCCCCTCTCCAGGTGGCTGAATCTAAGTTTCCCCAACAGCTTGAATATTAAGTTGTGCTTAGGGACTTGCTCCCAAAGAGCAGAGTATGAAGAAGAGTAGCCCAAGTAACCGTACAGTGAAGACCTGGCCAACCTTACCTCAGCCAGGTGATCAAGGTTAACATCAACAGTAAGTCAAGTTGATAGTATGTACCCTTGATAGAAAGTGATAAAAATGGCACTTTACCATTGTGGTCTTCCTTGCAAAAGACTACAACCCCAGTTATAGGCTAACAATATGAAAACAACCATGAGAAACTAAACCATGAGAAAAACATTAAACTAATTGAGGGACATTCTATAAATAGCTGACCAGTATTCCTCAAAACTGTCAAAATGATCAAAAACAAAGAAAATCTGAAAAACTGTCACAGACTAGATGAGCCCAAGAAGACATAAAGATTAAATGTGATGTGGTATCCTAGGTGGGATCCAGGAACTAAAAAAGAACATTAGGGGAAAACTAGCAAAGTATGACGATAGTGTAGAGTTTAATTAATACTCATGTACCAATGCTGATTTGTTAGACGTAAAAAAATGCACCACACAAATGTAAGATGGTCTAGGGAAGAGAGGGTGAGGACTATATAAGAACTCTGCATTATCTCTACAACTTTTCTGAAAAATCAAATAATTCTTATCTTTTAAAATGTCATAGAATTATATACATAGACACACAAGAAAATGAAACATGAGTACATGCAAAAACTGATGAAATCTGAATAAGGTCTGTAGTCTATTAATTATATTGTGTCAAGTACACATAACTACCGTATTTCCCCATGTATAAGATGCACCCTTTTCTGAAAAATTTGGGGTCTAAACACTGGGTGCGTCTTATACAGTGGTTGTAGTTTTTTTTAACTTACATTTCCTGCTTTTTTCGCACTTGTTTTTGCGCTCATACAACCACCGTATATTTATGTAAAAGATGTTACCACTGGGAGAAGCTGGGAGGGAGGTATAAAGGACCTCTTTGTACTGTATTTGCAGCTTCTTGTGAGTTTATAATTCTTTTTAAATAAAAAGTTTTTTAAAAAGTAAAAAAACCATAAACAACAAGAAGCAGTTAGTGTAGATTCCACTTTTCATGTCACCTTTTTAACTCTGGCTAAATACAATATAAAGAACTCATTCTATCTCAGGTATAAAATGTTACATGTGTTCTGAAGGTTATATACTATAAGCTTGTTATAAGTAGTTTAAGTGAGCAGGAAGCCTAAAATTATTATGACAATACTAAAACAAGTATTTAGTTCAGTCTGCAACACTCATTTTAGATATTCCCATTTACTTATGCAAATTCTACTATATTTTCTAAGCATCTTTCTAATAAATACCTCATCGACCTGATTTGTAATATGGCCCTTAAAATGAAAGCAAATTGCTTCATCTTATTTCCATGTAAAGAAATAGTGATCTTTCCCAGTGCTTGATGGTAAAAACGGTTATGCTGGTCTTACTGAGAGGTGCCACTCATTTTTAAGTAATTTGCAAAGGTAATTCTGACTAAATGCTATGTGTGTATTAGATGTTTAAAAACCTAACTCCCATAAGCTATGACTCCACTATATGCTTTTCAGTGGACAAAACAACACTATTATGATCCCGCCACAACCAAGAGAGTCATTATTGTGTGAGATAAAGTGGTGGTTCCCATATTTTTAGATTTTTCCAGTTAGGTAAGTTTCAAAAACAGTTCTGGAGACCAACACAGGGTGGCAACCATTTTATTTTGCTAAATAAGGTCACTAAAGGCATAATATCAGAACGAGGACAATCCTCAAAAATACTAGCTGGCAACCTTAACCACATATACAGACATGTGTGCGGCATATACACGTAGACACACATATATATGCACAACATACATGCGTGCTTAAAAGCAACGCACACAGGGCGGCTGGTTAGCTCAGCTGGTTAGAACACAGTGCTTATAACACCAAGGTTGCCGGTTCAATCCCCACATGGGCCATTGAGCTGCGCCCTCCACAACTAGATTGAAACAACTACTCGACTAGAAGCTGATGGGTCCTGGAAAAACACACTGTTCCCCAATAAAAAACAAAACAAAACAAAAACAATGCACATAATAATATATTTTTTCCATTTGCCAGGTCTGCAAACTGTTACCTTTACACTAGGTTATAGAATAATAGTGAGAATCAGAAGTCAGAGGAAGGAAAGAGGTATTTTTAGGATAGGGGTTATGCTCTTAAGAAAGTCCCACACAGGCAGTTATGTACATGAGTGACTGTTTCAACCAAAAAAGAGACAGCTCTTAGGAGAATACAAAAATCCACAGACAAAAACCAATGAAGAGGACTAGCCCTGTCACATATGAAATATATTTAAAGTTATAGGGGTTAAAATAGATATGGCAGGGATATAAGAATAAACAGACAGCAATGTTCAGAATCCGAACCACGTATTTAAGAATTTAACATGAAAAAGGCATCATAACAACTCAACGGAGTGGAATTAATAAATCAAATCAATGGAATTAAAGTAAGATACCAATTTCATCTATCAAATGATAAACCTTAAAATTCTGACAAGAGGGAGAAGAAACAGGACTGCTCAAACACTGCTAATGAGATTATACCAATAAAACTCTTCTGGAAAGCAATCTGAAAGCATCTGCCAACAAATTCTGCTATGCTCTTATATATCCTTGGTTTGCCTCTTCCATATTTCCCTTACTTTCTATGAAGTATTAATGTCATAATGGAAATACTAAGATAATTTTTAAAACTCTCCATCATATTTGACCTGATAATACTACTAAGTTATATAGCTTATTTTGAACCACTGCTTAGATTCAAAAGTATCTGTTAAGAACTTTATGCTACAGAAAGCAATGTATTAAATGTCAGAAGGAATTCAAATTTAATGAAAAGTCCTGTCTTCAAGGAACCTAAAACAAGATAATGTACTCAACAAATTTACTAAGCACCTACCAAGGGTCAGCCTTCATGGATTTTATAGTATTGTGTAGAGGCAAAAGATGAAACAAATAATTAAAATATTGTGAAACGGTAGATAGAAAGAAAAATGTAGTGGTACTGAGACTTTTTTAACAGAGGATCTAGTCAAGGCTTTCCTGAGATATTTGTGCCCAGACAAGGATGAGTGGAGGTAATAACTTGCTAAGGCCACTGAAAGGATTAAAACAGGGAAGAACCTGACAAGATCAATGCTTAACAAAATCACTCTGGCTATTGTTGGAAATGAACACAGTTGGGGAGGTGATCAGCTAGGAAGGAAAAAAAACGCAGAAATTTACAAGAAAGTCACAAGTTATGGGAGCATAAAATTATATTTAAGTATCCATCATGATGATGATAGCTACTATTCACTGAGTGCTAACTGTGCATCAGCACCTATGCTAAGCACAACCGTCTGTTATTTCATATTTGACATATGGCGAAAAACTAAAGCCTGGAAAGGACAAGTAAGTTGTCAGAAAGTAACGGAGCCAATCTTCAAAGTCGTGACTGTCTGTCTCCAAAGTGCCATCTCATCAAAAGTTCTGTCCAAGAAGCTCTGGGGTCATACTTCCACCTGGAGACACCTTAAACTCAACACCAAAACTAAAACCGGGCCCCCACTGGCACTCGTCTCCAAATGAACTTCTCCCACTTGACATTCCCATTTTATTCATTCTATTTTTCACTATTCAAACTTCATTCTAACTTCACTATTCACTAAAATTTAAAAAGCTGATGATACCAAGTTTAACGAGAATAGGGAGCAATTAAAACTCTTCTACATGGCTGGTGCAAAATGGTCACTTTGGAAAACAGTTTGGCAGTTTCTTATAAAGTTAAACGTACACCTACCACATGACCTAACAATTCCACTCTTATTATTTACTCAAGAGAAATGAAAATGTAGGCGTATGTTCACACGATGACTTGTATTCTGATATTCAGAATAGCTTTATTCATAGCAGCCAAAAACTGCAAACAAACCAATGCCCATCATCTGGTGAGTGGATAAACAAACTGTGGTTCATCCATACAATGGATAACTCCATAGCAACAAAAAGGAAGGAACTACTGATTCATGGAACACATGGATGAATTTCAGAAGCATTATGCTACAGAAGCCAGGCACAAAAGACTGCAAGATTCCATTCAGAGGAAACTCTAGAAAGGGCAAGAAAAACTCCCCCAAACCTACAGTGACAGGAAGTAGACTAGAGGTTGCCCGAGGTCAGTGCTGGAGGGAGAGGATTATCTGTAAAGAAATAAAAGGGAACTTTCTGGGGTGATGAAATTGTTCAATATCATGATTGTGGTAGTGGATATAGGACTGTGTGCATTTGTCAAAACTCATCAAATTGCACACTTACATGGATGAACTGCATGTATTTTAATCATATTTCAACAATATTGATTTTTAAAACCCCTCATGATTATTTCCACTTCAACTCTCTCCCCCCACAAATCTTTGTTCAAATGTTTCTTCACATCTACAGCTTCCTTTCCCTTCGCCATTGCTATAATGCTGGCTATTGTTTTTCACTTAAATGTAATGAATACCTAATTAGCCTCTCCTCCGTGTTTATCCTTAATTTATCCTATATAATATCATCCAATTAATACTTCCAAAATATCATTCCTATCACCCCCTGCTCAAAATACTTCAGAAGCATCCTACCTATTATAAGATAAATCCAAACCTCTTACTATGGTATTAATAAAATGCTTTCCACATGTTAACCAAAATTACCTTTCCAACTTTTTTCTTAAAACTTTCCAATGTAAACACTTTGGCCCATTCAATCTATCTATCTACACTCCTCAAACACATTGCTTACCTTTCCTCATGCTTCCCGTATTTGCAATAGTCTCTT